TTCCTCTCCTTATTTCCCACCCCCTCCCCATCTTCTGACCTACTTCTCTCCTTGCCCCTAATTCCTTTCCCTGTCTCCCATCTTCATTCCTGTTACCCGGTCCCTTCCTCCCTCCCCACACCTGCCCTTCTTATCCCTGTGTCCCCGTCCCTGTCCCTGGTCCCTGACTCCATCTTTACATTTCTAAACAGAGAAGAAAGCGGGCAGGGCAGGCAGGCGCTGTGCCCCCTCGAGATCCCCTCTCCCTCTCTCTTTTCCAACTCTTGCCACTTGCAACTGGCCCGATTTCATTACCAATTTTAATTTGCCTCTAATTAAATCCTGTGTATTTTTCCGACTCGCTTGCTAATCCACGAGGGAGGCAGGCGGCTGGAGTGGAATCTCTCGGAGCGATAATTACAAAGGGCCTAATCACGCCGGGGCTCCTGCCTCGGAATAAATTTCCCCGCATTACGGGGCTCGGATCCTCCGCTTTGCAAATGAGAATGACCCCAATTTCCGAGGATGGCCTCACCGGGGCTTTTTTCCCTCATTTCGAAGCCTGATTCGTGATGAGAGACTAATTCGTTACGCTGAAACATTAACGGCAATTTAAGGGGTCTGGCGGGGGCTTCGTAAACAAAGGGACCGGCCCCACAACAAGGGCCCGGGGAGGGGCCCGACACCAGGAGGGGGCGGGAGGAGTGAGCTGGGGAGGGGGCCCGGGAGGGCAGCAGCTCTGAGAAGCAGATGGCGTCTCCTGTCTCCGGGATGGCCGGGCTTGGCCCCAGACCCCCTCCCCATCCTCTCCCCCTGACCTGGTCCTTCCAGGGAAAGGGTTCCAAAGAGAAAAGGGGGTAGGATGAGGAGGGAGGCAGAGCAGGAAGGGCTGGGTGGACAGAGGGGGAGAAGGAAGGGAAATCTATGAAGCCAGGATTCTGTTTTGCCCCAGAGGGGATAAGTAGCAGAGGCCTGAACCCCAGTGGCCTGGCCTGGCCTGGAAGGGGAAGTGGAGGAAAGAGACGGGAAGTGTGGGTAGAAGGAGAGTCATAGGATATCGCCTATGCAGAGGGTGAGTTAGGGCTGGGAAATGAGAATTGAGGATGACCCTAAAAACCCCAAGGGTAAGGAGCTGGGTCCAAGAGGGCTAGAATATGGCCATAGAAAACCTGAGGGCCATGATGGACCACCCTTCTAATGTGATACATTCTACTGAGTTGTCCACCATTTTACTATGAGGAAAAATCTGAGTGATCCCAGCCTGTATTCCCAAGAGGGTGACCTTCCCTTGTTCAAGAGCCAGCCCCTCCCCCCCCACTCCTCACACACATCTATCCCCAATGTTGACCAGGCCATTGTCTATCCATTATCAATTCAGGCCTAGTAACAGGCTGACACTGTTGGATCTGGGAAGGGAAAGTAGAACTGGGGAACAGATGAAGAATTGACTAATGAGTAGGAAATCAAAAACAGTAGGAAGAGGGAAAGGCATAGGGACTGTTTGGCCTGAAAAGGAGAAATGAAGAAGCACTGTATAACTACTCAATCTCTGAAAAGCTTTCTAAAAGAGGATGATAAAGAGAAACTGTAAAAAGAGCCCTGGATTTGGAGGACCCGAGTTTGAATTCTGGTTCAGCCACTTACTACCAGTATGCTCTTGTGGAAGTAACTTTCTGTTCTGAGCCTCAGTTTTCTGAGCTGTAAAAGGAGGGTGTTGGGCTAGATGAATTCTAAGGTCCATTCCAGATTTAAATCATATGCTCTCTAATTATCCTCCATCTTCAGAGAGGAAATGGTCTGCACTAAAGTAGATATAAATAAAATAATGACAGAGTGAATGTACAATTTCTAGTTTGGGCAGGTATGTGTAGTGAGTGTGGAAGCAGCATGGACAGGACGGATCCCCACACACATACATACCCCACCCACACAGTTGTTAAGTAATAGGTAACTCCTTTAGGTGCTGTCCTGTCTAGTGGCTAAAGACTGGAGATGACCTCTAGAGGGCTCAGCCAGCCTGAAAGGAGCCCCAGAGTCTAGGAACAAGATGCAAGTCAGAGCGATGACATCACTTACAGCCAATCAGAAGAGCTGACCCAGCTTGGCTTGCCATTACCTCTTTGGGGCCTTATCACTCCAACTCTGTGACCCTAGTCCAAGGAATGGGGGTGACATTTTAGCTGAGTGACTCTATTCACCTCTCAGTCCTGGGAAGAGGCATCATGCATAATACCTGCTATGGCCCTAAACCAGTACATTCACATTCTGTCCAATGAGGGACTTAAAATGTTATTGTGGCTGAAAGTTTGCAAAGTGCTTTACAAATGTGATCTCATTTGATCCTCACAACAAACTTGGGAGGTAGGTGTTATTACTACCCCCAGTTTACAGTCTGAGGCAGACAGAGGTTAAGTGACATGCCCAAAGCTGGTAAGTGAACTGAGGTCCTATTTGAACTCAGGTCTTCTTGGCTCTGAGTCCAGTTCTCTATCCACTAAGCTGACTTGCTGTTCAGAAAAGTCTTCTGACAATGAGTTCAATGAAAGGCTGAAATATTCTTGAGGCTCTTCAATAATAGTGTCAACACCCATCTTTCCAGACTGGTTTGGGTAACATTTGCCTGGAGCTAGGAGGATGACCGAGATGACCCTTCAAATTCCCTTCCAATCCTATAATTACCTATTCTGATGTTTTCCATAAGCCAAGGCAGTATTATACTGATGAAGCAGTATGACTTAAGGGGTAAGAGACTAGATTTTAAGTCAGATGACCCAGGTCTGAGTACTAGGACACTTTGTGGATAATCATAGTGCAAAGAGTGCTAGATTTGGAGTCTGAATTAAAATCCTTGTTATGCTACTCATTATTTTTGTACCTTGGACATGTCACTTAACCTCTTTAAATCTGTTTCCTCATTGGTTAAATAGGGGGTTGGACTAGAATAAATGACCATCAGGGTCCCTTCTTGTTCTAAATCTATGACTCTATGATCCTAATTCACGGAAATGTTCCCTCCCACCCCCAGCCTGGGGAGGACATCTTGCACCTCTGAAGTTCCAACACTGGCCAGCAGGAGGACTCAAGGGCCAAAATTCCTGGCAACTCCCTGCATAGACATTGGCCCCTTCTCTTCCCCACCCTGATGGTCATGCTCCAGCCCTCTCTCCACTGAGCCACAATGCCCACCCTGCTGTATAGGCACCAAGTCCTTCATCTGACACCTGCACCTGCCTGTGACTGCTCTCTCGTGCTCTCTCTCTCTCTCTCTCTCTCTCTCTCTCGGTCCCTCTTTTCCCATTTATCCATCTCTCTGTGTCTCTCTCTCCCTCCCTCTCTCTCTTTCCCTATCACTCTCTCTCCATCTCTCTCCATCCCTTTCCCTCCATCTCAGCCTGTCTCTCCATCCCTCTATCCCCATCTCTCCCTCCATCCTTCTATGTCTTTCTGTTTCTGTTTCTCCAGCTCTCTATTTCTGTGTGTCTCTCTGTGTCCACCTGTCTTTCTCTCCATCTCTCTTACTCTATCTATCGGTGTCTCTGTCTCTGTCTCCACCTCTCTCTCTCTCTCTCTCTCTCTCTCTCTCTCTCTCTCTCTCTGTCTCCCCACCCCTCCCACCCCCACAGTCTTGGCAGTGAGAAAACAGAAGGCACTATCAGCATCCGGCCCCTAACTCCCTGTCCCATTTTCCCTAGCCCTCCCCCCCACCTTCTCTCTCTTGTCCCCCTAGGAAAACTGTTATGGCTGGAGGTGTTGAAATGACTAATTGGACTAAGACAATTATCTTTCTGCTTCTGACAGCAGAAAGGGGGAGGGTGTATGTGTGTCCATGTCTATATACGTGTCTGTGCCCATGTCCACAGACCCGTATTTGGCCCCAGGTCCAATTTTCCCATACACTTTTCTTCCCCAGTGAGGGGTAGGGTCTTTGGAACACCCCTATGGTACCGTTTTGGTAATTCAAGGGTCCCTCTGAATGGTTTGGACATACTTCATGAGAACCTAGCCACAAGCTCATCAAGGGGCCTGTGCCCCTTGCAGTTGCCTCTAGAGCCTGTGCGGTCACCAGGGGTCAGACCCCATCATGTTTCCCTTTGTTAAAAAAAAAAAAACTTCAGTGGCTCACTATTGTCAATAGAATAAAATAAAAAACTCCTCAACTTAATTTAGTGCCCTCCATAATCTAATGCTCCATAACTACCAGCCTTATTTCATAATACTCTCTTTTAAAAACTATGTTCCACTTAAATTGGATTGTAAGTCATTCCTGGAATTTTAAACTCCATCTCTCACACCCCTGCATCCATATAAGCTATTCTTCATACTTGGACTGCACTTCCTTCTCATCAGTACATTTCAGAATCCTTGTCTTCCTAAAAGGCTCATTAGAGGGCATATCCTCCTTGAACCCAATCCCCCTTAGATCTTGGTCTTTTCCTTCACCATTGAATTTTCTTCATTTTATGCTTATTTGTGAAGATGTTTTATCTCCACCTCCCCTAAAATGCAAGAGGAAAGTACAGACCTGCTCCCTAGAGACAGAGACTCTTTCATTTTTGATTCTGTATCCTGAATATCTGGCACAGTAATTTGCCTGGGGTTTTACTGCCAGCATATGTAAGAAACAGGGTTTGAACTGAGGTCTTCCTGACTCTGAGATCTCCTCCCTATCTTTTATGCCAGGCTGGTATTGCACATAATAAGTGTTTAGTAACTCTTTGTTGAATTGAATTAGGGAAAGGGGGGTTTAGAATCCAGAAGATCTCTGAGGAGACATTTGAGTTGTAGGAGTCACCGATGATGATGATATGGGGACATGCCTGAGCCAAAAATGTTCCCGACTAAGCCAACAACACAAGAGCATGCCTGAGCTCCTAGAGGAAGGGAACCTGACCTTTGGGCTGTAGCATTAATATTCCCTACAGGAATCTCCTATCCTGAATGTGAATCTAGGGGATGGCCTGCAATATTCATCGAGGGCCCTTAGGAAGAGGAGGAGAGGCAAAGCAAGGTAAGTGTCTCACCTTCCAGGTGGCTGTATTCCTCCGGAAATAGGCGAACATCCTGGTGAACCAATTGTAGATTTCATTCAGAGTAAGCTGCCTGTCAGGGGTCTCCAGGATGGCCTTCAAGGGAAGCAGAGGTCAAAAGGGTTACTTCTTCTAGAGACAGGAAATCAATAGCACTGGATTCTCTTTCCTAGGATTCCAACTCTCCCTTAGGCCAACAATTTTTACTGTTGAGTCGTCTCAGTCATGTTCGACTCTCTGTGACTCCATTTGGGGTTTTCTTGGCAAATATACTAGAGTGGTTTGCCATTTCCTTCTCCAGCTCATTTTACAGATAAAGAAATTGAGGCAAACAGGGCGAAGTGACTTATCCAAGGTCACACAGCTAGTTAGTGCCTGAAGCCAGAATGGAACTTGGGTCTTCCTGACTCCAGGCCCAGCGCCCTATCCACTGCACCACCTAGCTGCTTCTGAACCCACACTAGCCCTTGTAAAAGTTCCTAAGTGTGTGAGTATGAGACATGAAGGGTGTGACTGTGTATGCATGCATGTACCTTTATGCTTTAGTAATGATAATAGCTAGCATTTATATAGCGTGTTACGGTTTGCAAAGTGATTTATAGGTATTATCTCATTTTATCTCCACAGCAACCCTGAGAGTTAAGAACTACTGTTATCCCCATTTTGCAGATGAGGAAACTGAGGCAGACAGAGATTTAAGTAATTTCCCAGGATCACACAGCTAGTAACTGAGGCAGGATTTGAACTCAGGCCTTCCTGACTCCTTCCAGCACTCTATCCACCGTACAATCAAGCTGGCTCTGTCATATGATAAGTGTTATGGCTGGCTAATCAGTTCTGCCAATGACCCCAGGAATCATTAACTTTGTATGCACGAGTGCCTATGTGGAAGAAAGGAAAAGGGGGAGAAAACAAGAGGAGGAAGGGAGAGAAGAAGAAAGAAGGGAGGGAGAAAGAGAGGGTGAGGAAGGATGAGAGAACAAGGGAGGGAGGGGAAGAAGATAGGGATGGTTACAGTGACAGAGACACAACGAGAGTATAAAAAAAAGATGTGTACATAATACAAAGAATGTGGATGTAAGTGGAAAGAGCCCTGGATATGGGAGGACAAACACAGTAATGCCCCGCTGCTGGGGGCTATGGATTGGTCCAGCATTTCTGGAAAGCAATTTGGAACAACACCAAAAGGTCACTAAACTGTGCATATCCTTTGAATCAACAATATAACCAGAAGTCAGAAAAAGATGAAAAGGTCTCACATGTACATACTTATTGCAGATGTTGGACTAGAGATGAAGAATGAGACATACATTTTTGGACATGGCCAAAGTGTGGATTTGTTTTGTTTGACTACACTTACTTGTTACAAAGGAAGGATTTAAAAAATGGTGAGGGGGATTAAGGGGAACAGGGAGTTTAGTAATAAGTAATGCCAAAAAGAAAGAATGAAAAGAAGGCCATTGAATTTACAACCAAAGAGAAGCAAGACAGCTTTGAAACTGTGTTGAATTTATTTTATGTTTTAAAAAAACCCTATACATAATAGGGACTCGTGGTTTCATCGGCTATCCTCCTTTTCAGTTCTTCTTTGAACGTGGAAATGTTTATACTTGTTGTTTTTCAAGTTTAAAGTAAATAAAAATTTAAAATATTTTTTAAAAAAGAAAGTGCATTTGATTTAGAGTCAAAGAAGTGGGTTTGAATCTTTGCTCTGTCTTGAATTCTTGCTTACTATCTTGGATAAATAATTTTCCCCACCCTGGAACTCCGCTTCCTCATCTATAAAACGAAGGAACCGAATTGAACTGCTTAGGTCCCTTATAGGTCTGTCTGTCTGTCTGTCTGTCTGTCTGTCTGTCTCTCTCTCTCTCTCTCTCTCTCTCCCTCTCTCCCTTTCCCTCATTCTCTCCCTCTCCCTCCATACGTATATATATGTATATATGATCCTGTGACAAAACATTCTATATGTGAGTATGTATATGTGTATGTGTGTAAGCATGGGTATGAAAGGAGGGAATAATTATGTATGCCTGTGTAAGAGAGACAAAGTGTGCAGCATAAGTGGGAATGGATACATATATATATGTCTAAGGAAACATGTGTGAGTTATATCTATGTGCAATAAGAGAGAATGGATGTGTGCATGAGAGACATAAAGAATGAGCTGGTGAAATGATGAGAGAAGGTATATCTGTGAAAAGCTGAGTGTGGGAGTGGATGTGCCATATATAAGCCTGTGTCAACATTTACAATGTACACTATAAGCTGTAGGAGAATCTATGTGCATGGGTGCACACATGTGTGAGAGAGATGGGAGAAGGATGAGTCACTTCCTCTGACCCTAAAGGGATAGGGAGTGAATGGAAGAGACAAGAAATGCTCTCGATGTCCAGAGGAGGGAGGCTAGGGTGATCAGGGCAGGGGGAGGCTGGGTAGGATTTAGATAGTGGGAAAGGAGAGGGAAGGGCTTCATAAGCAAATAGGCAACTGGAGGTAGATTTGGGGGATGGGAATGAGAATGGAAGGGAGGACTTTTCATGAATTCTCTTATTCCCAACACCTCCATATTCTTCCCTGGGAAACTCACCTGTCGGATGAGGGACGCATAGGTAAAGGGAGGTCGGACGTCTGCATTTTTGTAGAACTCATGATTCTGGGCCAGTTCTGGGGGAGAGAGATGAGGGATATAAGGAGGGCCAAACCTGTGGCCCAAGGAAGCCCCCTCCCCTAAACCACAATGCCTCCCCTTCTGTGGTCCTCCTGCCCCCACCTCCCCACCCTCACCAGAGGAGATGGGGGTGCAGAACTTGTCACTACTCCTCCTGCGGGCAGGGCCCCCACTGTGCAGAGTAGCAGAGCTGAGGCCAGGGGGGCGTAAGGGAGTAACAGGGGCGGCAGCTGAGGTGGGGGGGTGGGCGAGGCCATCCGGGAATGAATCAGCTGCTGAGACAGTCACCTTGGAGAGTGAGGAGCCTGACACCAGGTTCAGCTATGAAAAATGGAAAGGGTGATGAGAGCAGAGCTAAGGAGGACGGCAGGTATGAGCAGAGAGCATCTCCTTGGATTCCAATGTCTTCTCCACTCTTATAGATCTCGCAGTCAGAATGGTGGGGGGTGAATTTCAATCATTAAGGAAAAGGGTAAGTGGGGTTTAGTTTCTGAAGGGAAGGATTCTGAGGGAAACAGATCTGAACCACAAAGGTCTAAGGTAGAGGAACAATGTTCAGGGGGAGGGACTAAAGGAATGGTTGGGGAAAATGTCTGGGAAGTCTTAGAGGGTTCTTGGAAGGTCCCACTTCACTGGAAAGTATGAGGGGTCATAGGGACTGAAGGAAGCAGGGGATATATGGGGCATGGAGCATCTCACCGGCTGGCTAAAGGGCTTGGGTTCTGAAGGCCTCATGTGCAAATGGGCCATCATCGCCTGAAGTCGCTCACTCTCCTTGGCTAGCTGTAGGGAGAGAGAGAAGGTGGGAGAAAAAGCCTGGGTTTCTTCAAGGTCTAGCCTTCTCCCCTTCCATTAGCACCCAACACCATCCTTCCCCAATCCTCTGCCTCAAGGGGAAAGGGAAGGAGGAGCCAAGGGGAGAAAAGATGACAAACACAAGTCTCTTCAGTGGCTTGACCTCAGACAGGTATCCCTCAGTCCCACAGCCCTATCAAACTCCAGGGTTTCCCACCTTTGTTCATGTTATTCAACCCGTTTAGAATTTAGCATCTATTCATCGATGCTTACTGGCTGATTGATTTACCCACCAAATATTTACTGAGTGTCCACTCCATCAAGGCCCTCAGTCAGGCCCTGTGAAGAGTACAAAGATGTATCCCCACCCTTAAGGAATGTGTAGTCCAGTAGGGAGCTGATACTGCACACATATTTGTTGGCAGATTAATTTCTCTCGTGGATTGATGGGTTCCCTTGATATGTCTCTTGGGTATCTGCAGTTCAGGCCACTAGCTCCTCTATGATTTCTTCATGTTCCTCAATCTGACTTTTCCAGAACCTTTTTTTTGCCACAACCTTTGCTTAAGACAACCCGCTGGGAAACTGAGCACATATCATCTCCCAAATCCAGTAGAACCCATCTGCCAAGAGGCTTCCTAGTTATGTTGGATACACTAACTATGCTGCTTCTGGTCCTCCCAGGGCAAGACCCAGACCCTCCCCCCCACCCAAGCCCACGATGTGCCCTCTCTAGAGTTCAGCTCCCCCAGCCAGATAACCAGGAGAATTTAGACAAGGTAAGGAGATCACTTTGGCTACGTGAACACATGGTTGAGCCCAGAAGGCCCCATGGAAAGGTGAAGGGTGAGTGGCATCCAACGAGCACCCTACATACACACACAGAGGGCCACACCTGTATCTCCAGCTGCTGGACAACCTGCATCTGGACCCGGCACTGGGCTGTGCTTCTGTCGTCAAGTGCATGTTCTGTATTGAGGTGTCTTCGTCGGGGGGAAAGAAGGGAAGGTTTAGATTCAGGCTTCACCTAGGACTTGCCCCCCAACTCCCCTGACTGTTCTCCCCAATCTGCCTTCCCTGATATATCTTCAATCCCCTCACACACAAAGACAGAGATACAGAAAGGGGCAGACAGAGCAATGGAGACAAAGAGACAGAGAAGGTGGCCAAGCCAGAAGAAAGGGAAGATAGAAGCAGCATCCTCCTAGTCAGCTTCCTTTGATGTCTTTGCTAAAATCCCAGCTACAGAGAGATCTAATTGCAAATGAACTAATTAAGTAAACCTCTGACGAAGCGTGAAAACAATTTGTTTGACCCTGATGCTGCAAGGGGCTGGGAGACAGCAGAGTTAATCAGTCAGTGACAGAGCCTGGCACCACTGTGGCAGCACCAACCGCCTGTGCACCACCCCCCCCGCCTACCTGTCCACCTGCCCCCTCCAGGCCCCATCACTCTGCTGTCAGTTTCCTCCTGCCCCTGGACTGGGGAGACTGGGAGAATATAGGAACTGGACACCGTTCCCTACTCACCCCTCCACCTACTCTGTATCTCCCTAGGATGGGGAGGAGTTGCTCTAGTTCCCACAGGAGCTGGCTGGAGGGGCTAGGAATGGCTGGAGGGGGGCCCAGGTAAGGCAGCTGTGTGTGTGTGTGACTGAGAGCATGCACTCACACTCACACCCACACATCTCAGCACTCCCTCACCCCCAAAACACAGATTCAGGTTCAAGGATTCGGTGGCTGGGGGCCTGTCTAGGACTTGAGATTCAAAGAAGAGAAGACAGTGGCAATTATGGGAGGACGGGGAGCTGAGGCTAACTGTGGTGCTCAGTGACCAAAGGGTACAGGGAAGTGGAGGTAAGGAGTGCAGTCAAGGAGGTGGGGGGGAGGGAAAGGGGGAGGGGCGAGAGGTGAGGAGGTGGGGGCAGTTGGGTACCTACTTGACAAACTGCCCCAGGTCTTCACAAAGGGTCTCACAGCCTGGCCACTTGCACTCACCATGACCGTAAAGGGGATGGGAGCCAGGGGTGTCCTCATGTGAGGAGCTGGGAAGGGAAGGAAGGTAGGAGGTCATGGACCTTGTACAATAGGCAGGGGTCCCTGTAGCTGACCATGACACCCTTTGGCCCAGTTTGGTCCCAGCTCCCCCCACCCCATTTTCCTTTGATCAGGCTATTTAGCCCTCCAGGAGTACTGACCCCCACAACCAACCCCCATCCCCTACTCAATTCCTCCACCAGTTTAAAAGCTCCGCAGTTCAAGAGGCAGATCTGAACTATTTACAGTTGGGCTTCCCGGTGTCACCCACCCCAACAGCTCCCTTTCAGGTCCCCTCTCCAAAGGTACCTGTCTCGTCGAGGTGTGAGCACAGTGGGTTGCCCATTGGGGGAGGGTGTGGTGGGAGAGGGGGGGTGAGACCTTAGGGGGAGCAAACGAGGTAGCGGTGGCTGCTGCTGTGGTGAGGTCCAACCCCTTCCTGCTTCATGCTGTCTTCAGCTGGCTGGGCAGCCGCCCCATCTCCCTTCCACAGCTGGGGCAGGTCCGATGGACATACGGCTGCAGAGAACAGGGCCAGATAGAGATTCCTCCCCACCCTTAATCCTTCTTAGACAGTACAGGAGACACTTAACCTTCTGGAAATGAAGATTGTGACGATCTTCCCAGGAACCCTGAAGGATTCTGAACCTTCCGTGTGGGGCCTTAGAAATGTGGGGTCTCCTCAGGGGTCCAGGGTGTGAAAGCATGGGAGGCTCAGTCTAGACCCTAGGAGTGGGAGGGTTTCAGGGACTCAGAGCAGAGGCTCTGGAGCTCAGTCTGGGCCTGGGAGAGTACAGGAAGTATGTGAGAACTACAAGACTTACTCACCTTGTGGGAGAGTTTGGAGGGGTCCTGTTGCCTGGCTGGGCTGCAGACTGACCAGACCCTGTCTCTGCAGGTTCAGCAGGTGCTGCTGTTGCAGCTGCTGCATCTGGAGGAGCTGTTGCTGGAAGGCCAGCTGCTTGTTCCCAAGTGCCTGGTCCCAGGGAAGTAACAGTGAAAGGAAGAAATATCTCATCAGGCCTTTCTTCATTGGAGCTGGCGCTCCCTGCCCTCCACCACCCCCCAGCCCCACTCCCTCTTGCTCCAACCAGCCTTTAAAGAGTCTTGTCTCTTCCCTACTTTCCTTCCCCAAAGACTGAAGGCCTTCCTTGAATATGATGTAGTACCATACACACACACAAACACACACACACACACACACACACACACACACACACACACACCCCCTATACCTAGTCACTCTCTCCCATCTCTTGCCTTTCCTCCTAGGGGCCATCCCCCTTTCTATTCACTGCAGTAGGGATGGGTGGAGGGAAAGCTTGCTCTCTCCTACCCCTGGTTCATCAGAGACCTCTGGGTGCCATTCTGGCCTAGAACACAAGTCAGCTGACTTGAGGTTTCACACCACCCTCTTCTCTTTCCTCTAATAGCCCCAGCTTTTGAAAAAGCCACTGGTACAAGGGGCAATGCTAAGAAGGGGGACAGCTCTACTCTTTTCTGGCCCTCCCTCTAGCATTCTCTTGTTTTCTTCTCTATTGCTGTCTTCTCTCTATTCTCTCCTGTTCTCTCCTCCCTTCCTTCCTTTCCACTACTGTTTTTTTTAATTTTTTTTCTGATCTTTCTTCTCCTTTCTCTCCCCCTCCCCCTTTTCTCTTCTTAAGATCAAGAGAAGGAATAGACCTTAGCCATCATCTATTCCAATTCCTGTGTTTCCCGGATAAGGAAAAAGGCCCAGAGATGTTAAGGCCAAAGTTAGTAAGGAAGGTAGTAAGGTTCTCTGTGTTCTCAAAATCCATTCCTTTTTCCACTACTTTTTTTCCTCTTACTGAATCATCAAACTTAGAATGAGAAGATCATCTCGATAACACATCTCATGCAACTCAGCAATCTCTTCTAGAGCATCCCTGATATATATGGTCTTATAATCTCTGCTTGAACAGTGATCCAGACTAGAAGCTTACTACTTCTTAAGGCAGCACATTCCATATTTAAACAACTCTAATTATTTAGAAAAGTTCTTCCTTATATTGAGACCAAATCTTTCTTCTTGTGACTTCCAGCCTTTGGTATTAATCTTATCTCTTAGAGCTTTGAAGAATAAGTTTATTCTCTCTTTCATATGACAGGCCTTTCAATACTTAAAGATGGCAAACATGTCCCACTCCTTACCCTCTTTTTAAGTCCTCCAGACTAAACACATCCAATTCTTTAAGCTATTCCCAATACAATGTGGTTTCCGGACCACTCACTGGCCTGGTCACCCTTCTCTGGATTCACTGCTATATGTCAATGTCCCTTTTATCTCTTACGTACAACCAGAAAAACTTCTCTCCAGAAGGTAGGGGCTCCCCAAGGAGGACAGAAGGTCACAAGCAGGCAAGATAAACCCCATAATAACATGCTCAATCATTTCAATATACCACTACACACACACCCCTACACCCTTAAACACACAATCACATATACATAGGTACGTCTTTGCCTGGAACCACTGACCACAATAACTTCTTGTGACAGATAACATGCTGGGGCCAGAAGTGAAGCTTATCATTTCTGTCCCACCAACTTTTCCCTTCCTTTCTTCCCCCTACTCAGTACACACACCTAGTCACACCCACACACCGCTCTGCCTTCCACCCCCCCCCCCCCAACCTCCCAGCACACACAGATTCAGACAGGGCCATTCAGCCACATGCACAGGCAGAGACAAGTCAGTCAGTCAGCAAGTTATTTATGGAGCCCTCCAGGGTCATGCCTGCCCTAGGAGCTTGCAATGATGTCTGTTTGCAGCTTGCTACTTATTGGGGAAAAAAACATAGGATTGCAGATTTATAATGTCCCCATTGGAGTATAAGCTTCCTGAAAGCAGGGATTGTCTTACTTTTCTATTTGTACCCTAGCGCTTAGCACTGTGTTTTTACACATAGTAAGCATTTAATAAATCATTTGTTCAGAGATGGGAGAACCCTTACTAGCCATCAAATGCAGCTCCCTTGTTTTATAGATAAAATGTAGGCACAAAGATGTTAAGTGACTTGTCCTGGGTCACACAGCTAGTAAATATCTGAGTCAGGATTTGAATCCAGGCATTCCTGATTCTAAGACCAGTGTTCTATATGGCTGACAAGATTAACCAAGAGGAAACACTAGAGATAATATAGCAATGTAAGAGTGAGTTGAAGTAGCAAAAGAAGCCACCAATTGTCCTGGTATGTTAGAGGGTTTTTAGTTCCAATCATGGAAGACTCCGTGGAGGAGGCCTGCTTGGAACTGTCATATTTTTCCCAACATGGGAGGAAGGAGATTGTTCTAGACACAGAGCAGGAGCTGTCAGGAGGGGCAAGAAGAAAAGTGTGGCTTGGATAGGGTGGGCAGGCTGTTTGGAAGGCTTTGAGAGGAAGAGAGATGAGGCAAACAGAAAGAGAAGGAAGGAGGGAACTTGGCAGTTGGGAAGCTGACGAATAGAAAGCCACAGTATTGAGATCCACAGGAGAGCCTTTAAGAGAATGGAAGGAATGTTGCAAAAGTATAAAAAACATGTTTGGCCCCAAACAAGAGATTTGAGAATCTCTTCCATCCCAATCTTTTGCAGAGGTGGGGGGTGGGGAAGTGGGTAAAGAGGAGCAGTCCATGAGTATGGACCATTGCTTACAATGCCAGATTTTTTGGTATATATTGAACTGTCTTGCTAATTTTTCTTTTCTCTCCTTCATCTTTAAAAAAAACCTATTTGTTTTAAGGAATGGCTCTTGGGAGGCATACAATGAGAAATAGGGGTGATTTTTTAAAAGGATATCCATAAAAATCTATTTAAAAAAAAACAACAGAGAGACTTAAGGCATAAGAAGGTACAAAGTGAGGCGCATGCACATACACACACACCCCTCCAGGAAATTATACATATACAGGCATGCAAATATGGCTCGAGCTACACATTCACAACTAGATTCCCACACAATTGTCCCATATGGTAAAAGGGAACCCAACTAACCAGGTGGTGGCCTAGGGATAAGATGGCATATAGGATAAGAAGAAAGAAAGAGGGATGGAGCAGCATGGGGGAAAACTGGTCACCAACTAGACACCTAGGTAGCACAGTAGAAAGAACCTGGTGTCAGGAAGACCTGAGTTCAAATATAGCCTCAGATATTTACTAGGTATGAGACCTTGGACAAGTCACTTAACCTCTATCTGCCTCAGTTTACTCAACTGCAAAATGGGGATAATAACAGCACTCATCTCCCTGGGCTGTTGTGAGGATCAGATGAGATAATAGCTGTAAAGCACTTAGCACAGTACCTGGCACATAGTAGGCACCATAAAAATGTTAGCTTTCTTCATTATTGTCATCATTATTTATTATTATGATTATTATTAAAATCTGGCCTCAGACACTTCTTAGCTATATGATCCTGGGCAAATCACTTAATCCCTGTTTGCCTCTGTTTCCTCAACTGCAAAATGGGAATAACAATAGTACCTTCCCGCCAGGGTTGTTGTGAGCATCACATGAGATAATGATTATAAAGCACTTAGCACAGTGCCTGGCACACAGTAGGCGCTACATAAATTTAGCTATTTATCATTATTATTTTTTTTCTCTGTGATCCTGGACAAGTCACTTAACCTCCGCTTTAGTCGCCTCAATTGTAAAATAAAGATAATAACAGCACTACTTTCCACAGTTGTTATGAGGACAAAATGAGATAATAATTGTGCCTGGCACACTGGAGCTTAATACATGCTTGCTTCTTCTTCAACTACGCCAGTCCCACAGGCTTCTCTACTTCCTAGGAAGGGCTGGAGGTGAAGTGAGTGAGGGGGGAGTGGAGGGAAAGAAGGGGGACAGGGCCCAGGCCGCCTGCCCCTCCCCCAAGCCTCCTACCTCTTTGGGTTGCTGTTTCCCAGCTTGCTGCTGGGTGAGGAGCTGTAAATGAAGCTGTTCTTGTTGTTTCTTGTAATATTCCTGTAACTGGGGCATAAGGGAAGGGGAGGAATAGGTCATAGAAGGAAAAAACAAACAAACAAGCAAACAAACCCAAGTCTGGGTTGCTTTCTTTCTTCTTCTACCCCACCCCCCCAACTGTGGACTCCTCAAGGCCCTAAAGCTAGGGTGGAAACTGAATCCAACTCACTTGGTAAAATGGATCCAGGAGCCCAACCTTTTGCACGGAAAAAGCACTGAGCCAGGATTCAGAGGACCTTGCCTCTCATCCTTACTACCTGAATGACCTATGGCAAGTCAGCTGGGCCCAGATTCCTCATCTGTCAAATGAAGGGGTTAGACTAAAATGGCTTGGGAGGGCCCTTCGATCAGTCGCGAGATCTCAGCTCCGACCCTATGACCCCTGCCCGCTGAGAACTATTTTTGGGGAATGTGGCAGAGCAAGAAGAGAAGAGGTTGGTGAGAGGGCAGACTTGGTGTCTAGTGTCAGTCACCAGGAAAGGGGATGCTTCATAAAGGGAGGGCATAGTCCTTCCCTCAGCCTCTGAGCCTTCTAGAGGAGAGATGAAGCCCCCTAGATACCACTGAGGCTGGGGTTCCTAAATCCTTTGTCCCAGCCCTCCCCTCCCTGCAGGAGTGGAAGAGAGATCTCCTGTACAGGTCAGAAAGTCCAATTTTTTTTTCTCAGGCCCAGAGCTGTGGAGATAGGGGTAGGACTGGTACCTCAGGAACCCCCAGGGGACTAGGGAGTACAGCGTGAATATAACCCTCAACAAAGAAAAAGAAAAAATGATCTTTGACCTGTACCCAGCTGTTCTAGAAGAATGCAGGCCTGTCTAGCCCGAGCAGTTTCCCTGACTGTCAAACAGGTTTCTGTTACCCTCCCAGGCCCCACCCCTCCACTGGAGCTGGGGGCTCCCCTCAGCATTGGTAATAAACAAGGACCAGAGGCAGGAGACCAGGCCTGAGGGGGGAAAGGGGAGACCACCAGGAAGAAGGTGAAGAAGGTGGGCCTCTTGGTCCCACACCTTACTCTACCCACTCAGTAACAGGCCTGAACTTGTGTAACATCAAGGACACTGGTAGTGAGAGATGAGAGGAGGGGGCAAAGAGGTTGGGAATAGGTGGGGTCTCACCTGTTGAAGCATGATGGCCTGTTGCTGCTGCAGCAAGGCCTGGAGCTGAGGAGGTGACAGGATCTGCTGCATCTGCTGGGGGGTGATCATCTGAGGTGACATCATGGCCACAGACACCGGCACCTGGGGGCAGAGGGGCAGACACCATCCCAGTCAAACACTGTCTCCACTGAGCATTCTCCAGGCCTCTCCGGGCCTTTCTCATTCCTATGCCCAAGGGAAGGCATGCCATACCCCAAAACACAGAACCCCAGAAATGGCAGAGCCTCAGAATCCAACTTGGCCAACTTATACCTGAACAAGAATCTTCTTGACAATGTTCCTGAAAAATGGTCAGTAGGTCTACAAGCATTTATTACTTATTTATTTATTTAGTCTACAAAACTACTATGTATGTGCCAGGCATAGTGCTACGCATTGGCAATACAAAGAAAGGCAAAAGATAATCCCTGCCCTCCAGAAGCTTACATTCCAATGGTACCTTACTCCCCAACACATACTCTTCTATCCAATAACACTGGTCTTCTGGTTGTACCACAAACAAGACACTCCATCTCTTAGCTCTCGGCATTCTCTCTGGCTGTCCTCCATGTCTAAAACATTGTCCCTCCTCTGTTTTGATTACTGACCTCCCTGGCTTCCTTTAAGTTCCCAATAAAATTCCACCTTCTACAGGAAGCCTTCTTGAACCCCTCCTAACTCCTGTGCCTTCCCTCTGTTCACTATTTTCTAATTATCCTGTACGTGGCTTGCTTTGTATATATTTGTTTTCTGTTTCTTCTCTGTTAGATTGTAAGCTCCTAGAGGGCAGCTAGGTGGCACAGTAGATGGAGTGCTAGTCCTGGAATCAGAATCAAAACAGTTCCTGGCCTCAAGGAGGTATCATTCTAATGAGGGAGACAATGTGCACACAATTCTACACAGGTAAGAGCTATGTGGAGAAAATGGGAGGTAATCTAAGAGGGAAGAGACCAGGAAGAGGGAGGCGGAGCAGGAAAGCGCTTTCCTTTTGTGGAAAGTGGGCATTCCAGATATGGGAAGCAGCCATTGCAAAGGCCTGGGGATCAGAAATGGAATAAAGTGGGCAAGGAACAGCCTACTCACTGGATTGTTGAGTTTGTGGAGGGGAGTAAGATGTGAAAAGCCTGGAAAGGTAGGAAGCGGCCAAGTTAGGAAGGAAATCTTTCCTTACATCAAGCTGGAATCTTCCTCTCTCTAGTCTACTCATTGATCCCTGGAATCAAGTAGGAGAAGTCCAGTCCCTTTTTCCTAATGCTTGAAGACAATAATCATGGCCCCTTCCTTCTCACCTCTGTCTTCTCTTCTCCACGTTAAACATCGCCTATTCCTTCCACTGAGCCTCATCTGGACCTTGTCTCCAATCCCCCTGACATTCCAGTCACCCTCCTCCCCTACCTTTTCAATGTGCTTGCTAAAATGTGGCACAGAGAACCCAATACTCCAAAAGTTGTCTGACCAAAGGGACTATCACCTCCCTAATATTAGACGCTGTGCCTCTCTTAATGCAGCTGAGGTCAGCAATAGCTTTTTAGGCTGTTGTGTCATGCTGTTGACTCATACTGAGCTTGTTGGAGAAGATACTGATGGATGTCAATGATTAGGTGCCCACGGGTGACCAGGAGTTCTTGATGTATAAAGAGAATGACTACAGCATGGCCAGCAGGACCTAGGGGCTACTTTGGTTTTCTCCTGGAAGAGATGGGCTGAATGGAGCCACCCTCACTCTCACATAGCCTTACTCCCTCAGATGCAGCAGAAATACCTGGGTTCAAATCCTAGCTCTGGCATTTAGTAACGATATGATTCTGGGCAAATTTCTTAACCTCGCTAAGCCTCAGTTTCCTCAACTGGAAAAATATTATGATAAGAATATAGTAATATTTGCAAGTTCTACCTCACAGGATTGCTAGGAGGGAAGCATTTTAAAAGCTAAAACACAAGTTATATTTTATTATTAATAATATATAATATTGTCATTATATATTATAGCCCTAGCTAATCAGAGTCAGTGATAAAAATCAGTGGCTATGGAACTTACAGGCCCACAGTGGGGTTTAAATGTATGACCCCAGCCTGCTTAAGAAGAATAACCACTCTCATTTATATTACATTTTACAGTTTACAAATCACTTTTATCTCAACAACCCTGTAAGGAAGGCAGTAAAAGTATTTGTTGTTCAGTCATGTTCAACTCTTCATGACCCCATTTGAGGTTTTCTTGGCAGAGATACTGGAGTGGTTTGCCATTTCCTTCTCCAGCTCATTTGACAGATGAAGAAACTGAGGCAAACAGGGTAAAGCGACTTGCCCAGGGTCACATAGCTAGCAAGTGTGTGAGGCCGGATTTGAACTCAAGAAGAGGAGACTTTCTGACTCCAGCCCTAGCAATCTTTCTACTGCACTACCTAGTTGCCCAGTAAAGTATTATTGTCCCCCCTTTACAAGGGAGGAAACTGAGTCCCAGAGAAGTAACTTGTCCAGTGTCACATGAGTAGTAAATAACAAAAGCTGAAATTCTAACACAGCTCTTCTGATTCCAAATCCATATTGACATACGCATGTACAAACACAGACAAGTACTCATACTATGTGGACTCCTGGACCCCCCCCAAAGACAGCTGAGTTTGCAAGTACCTAGGATGCAAGACTTTGGAGAAAAGAAGCAGGAAATTGGGTGGATAGATGGGCCTCCTAGGTAGGAATACAGAGCAACTCACTACTCTACCACTTCCCCCAGGGGCAATATTAGAGAGCCAGACCCTAGCACTTTCATTTAGCTTTCAGGTTCCATACCTGAGCCCTGGAAGGGACTGTGGAAAGTTTGGAGACCCTGACCCTCAGGTCAGCAAGCCCAATTTGGGGCACAGATTCATAGGTCTGAGGGCTCAAAGGAAGGTTAGAGATTATCTAAATTTTATTTGAAACAGGAGGAAACTGAGGCCCAGAGAGGGACAATGCTTTACCCAGGAAGCAGCAGTGCTGGGATTTGAACCTAGGTTTTCTAAGTCAAAATTCAGTGTTCTTTCTACTCCATGGTATGCTAGGCTTTCCTGGCCTGTATGTCTATGCTACTCTCTCTTATCAACCAGTTTGAATTCTACCCTGACTGCCTTTGAGACCCAGATGCAATTCTTCCTCCTCTGTGACAGACAGCCCCAGCCTGGCCAGTCTTACCCTTCTCTAAATTCCTGCAGTATTTGGCTGTCTTCACTGTTTTTATGCATATATTCTCATCTCCCCAATTACAATAAAACCTGGATTAAAGGGAAGCCAACTACAAAATCCTCATTAATAAGGACTGTTTTTCTTCCCTGAGCTCTACTTTTGGGAAAAAGGGGCAAATGGAAAAAAGGTGGGGTGGGAGGGGGGAGACTTTCAGGGATCTGTTTAAAAATAAACAAACAAACAGAGCAAGCCAAACAACTTCCAGGCTATGTCCTTGGCTCCTTATATATCTCTCTTCTAAAGCCTTCCCTCCCTCTACCCCTCTCCCCTCCAGATGAGAATTCCTGATCAGCAACAAAATTGGGAAAACAAAACCACAAATCCACACAAAAGAATAAAGAATCAGGAGACTGGGAAGCAAACAGGACATTTTTGTTCTGATTTTGCTCAAGTTAATATACACATTGATTTGAACAAATTGTAAATAATTTTGAGTTTTGGGTTTTATGTATGGATCATTTTCTTTGTTTATCTGAATATTTGTTTTTGTTCTTGCTTACCAATGTTGGGAGGCAGAGAGGGAGGAAGGGAGGGAAGGAGAGAGGGAAAGAGAGAGAAAGAGGGAGGAGAAAGGGAGGAGGGGGAAGGAAAGAGTTAGAGACAGAGGGAAAGAGGGAGGGAGAGAGAGGAAGAGGGAAGGAGAGGAAAAGGGAGAAGGAGAAGGGGAGAGAGGGAGGGAGGGAGAGAGAGAGAATATTTATTTCTACTCAGAGTGTTGGGACCTGACCTAAAAGATTTTCAATCAGCAAAGAAAGTTTCCATTGTTTTCTGAGTACCATAATTAATAAATCAGGAAAGAGGGCTGAAAAAGAAATCCTGGGTTGTAGTCAATGGACTTAAGTTCAAAACCCCAGTAACACCACTAACTTCCCATGTGACCCTAGACAAACCTCTTCCCCTCTCGGTGCCTCAGTTGGAAAATGAAGAGGTTGCACCAAAATGGTCACAGTGCTCTCTTCCAGCTCTAAATTCACCAGTCTAGGATTGTAAAAAGACTTTCAAGAGTCAAAGATTATAAAATATGGAAAGAGTTGTTGTAGGGCTGTGGACCCCTACAACATCGACTCTTCTCATATTTTATAATCTTTGACCCTTGAAGACAGGCATGTTAATATACTATTGATGAAAGTAGAACTGGTTTAAGTTCTGGAAAGATATTTGGAATTGTGGCTAAAAAAAAAACTAAGAGTATGGACTACTATGTCCATACCCTTTGACTCATACCCTGGGCATATGCCCCAAGAGGGTCAAAGATAGAAAGTAAAGTCCGACATATACAAAAACACTTATAGAGACACTTTTTTTATAGTAGCAAAGAACTGGAAATAAATTAGATGCTGAATGATGAGAGAATAGCTAAACAAATTGTGATACAAGACTGATTATGAATATTACTGTACTGTAAGAAACAATGATTACGAAGAATATAAGAAAGCATAGGAAACCAAATAAACGGACACAGAGTAAAATAAGCAGAATCAGGAAAATAATAAGCACAATGACAACAACAATGTAAATGAAAAGAACAGCAAAAATGGAAACTGAATGCTTTATAATTATAAAGACCAAGCCTGGTCTGTAGAAAAGATAGGAGTACATCTCCCTCTCTTCTTTGGAGAGGTGGGGGGCTATGGATGTGGATCACTGCATACACTGTCAGATTTGAGTAACACATTGGTTGTTTTGCCAAATGGCTTTTTTCCCCTTTATCTTTTATTAGGAAATGAAGCTAATTAAAAACAAAAGATATTAATTAAAATTTCTGGAAGCAATCAGTAGGAAGGAAGGAAAGAGAGAAGGAGGGAGGGAGGAAAGAAGAGAGGGAGGGAGGGAGGGAGGAAGGGAGGAAGGAAGGAAGGAAGGAAGGAAGGAAGGAA